GTGTGATCCAAGAGTACTTTTACATCCTGTCTGAGCTGCCTGTAAAATGTAGATAATATAGTCAATCATTCATGTTTCTAAAATATTAACTAAATATTCTTAATGGCAGTATGTATAAAAATAATCTCATTATATGTACCGGTTCCTGTTGTAGTAGTGGTTTCAGACATCATTATTGTGAATCTGTGTTTGAAAATGTTTGTTTGTATTCCTTTGTGAGTCAGATTTGAGCAAGGGTCAGGGTTTGATTCAGAATCTCCTTATTGCCACATGCATAAACAAGAAAGGATGCAAAGAGAAAGAGAGAGTGGGAGACTGTTAAATTAGGAAGATAATTATCAACACATCACATCAAATGGGTAGTTCAGAGGTTCCTAAATTATGGCACTTCAGTTATGAGTGGACTTTGAGTCAGTTAAAAATATCTCAGAAAACCTCAACCATGTTTCTTGTATTTTCAATAAAATTTGATTATTTCAGTCTCACAGTGATGTCTGTGAAGAATTCTGACACATGGCAATAGTCTGTTACTGAACTGGCCCCTTATTTGAAATTTCTGTTCTTTTGCAGCCACTTCTTCAAATGATGGACTGGAATGTAAAAGAAATACTGGAGTGAACATTAGGGAAGTAATACACTTAAAATAGAAATTTCTTCTTAATAGCAAGCAGTTAAGGTTTTCCCTGAAGTGCAAGTATTTTCATCCTTTTGTTGTTTTTCTTCCCATCTGATTTAATTGTGGTGCATTTAATTATGTAATCAAATGCCCAATTCTTCAATATTTTGTTAAGACTAGATACCTGGCTCTAGTAATACCTTCTGAAGAAAAGCTCAGCTGGCTAATTAAACGCACTGTTAAGAAGTGTCCAGGGAATCTTTTGGATTTGCAAAATGTTTGTCCCAAAATAATCAAAAAAGAATAGGACAAAGTAAAGAGCTTGCATTGTATGAGAATTTGGATTTTGCAGTTTAATGTTTTGCTTGTAAGCTGACTAAAAATATTTCTAATCGAAAGGCATATAGGTACATACATAAATGAGTACGCATTTATGTTATATATATATTTTATGAAACAGTGTAGGCATTGCTTATGCCAATCCACATCTCAGCTATGGAGCAATGTTTGGGCAATGAAGTGAATACAATCCAGAACATGTATGGAGATGGTCTATGAAGATAATTTTATGAGAAAGAACTAACAGATTGCCTCATTTGACAGCAAAATTAAGGGTGAAAAGGGATATGACAGTAAATATTTCAGGATTAGAAGAGAAGGTAAAGGCAGGAAGGGAGGAGAATTACTGAAGTTAAAGGGCAAATTTTGGCATTAAGACTAATGGGTCTGGATGGCTGTGAATGGCCATTTAGTCTCTAAGTAAGAAGTTTGTAACCATCAGAGAAAGAAAAGCCTGGAATAATAGGGGTCAAAAATATCTAATTATTTTTGAAGATGGGAACTTATGAGAAATAATATAAGGTGTGAGTACTTGGGAGCTGAGGGAATGGACTTGAAATATGAGGCTGTCACTTGTGATTGGCTGTTCCTGTATGGTTGTTTTTTAGCCCATTTCAGCTTCTTTTAAGTGGCTGGGCAAGAAACAGAAGAATGGCTGGAACATCTCAGGCCAATCATCAGATCACCTGTATTTGTACTTTTAAAGCAACTGTTTAAAATGGTGTAACTTCGTGATACTATCCTAATTCATGCCAGATGAGAATCTGGCCACAGACATCACATTGGTTTAATGTAAACAAAGAAATTATTCTATTTGAAAAGTCTGACCTGTAAATCCCCATACAAATAGCTCCCTGGTAACGAAGGATGTTCTTGTATAGTGCAGCTAACAGGGATTGAGGATGCCAGAACTGGGCCAAAAATTATTACAATGAGAAAAATTACTGGTTGATGCATAAACTTTGTTATAAGAAAAAAAAAACATTTTTCTTCTTTCTACTTCAGAAGAAAACCCACTACTAGGAAATCAGAACTTATTTGGCAACTTGCTACCTGATTTTTGTTCATTATTATCCCTTCTTGAAGCTGAGGGCTTTTCTTTTAGATAATAGTTTGTGTTACTTTTACTACAACAAAAAAAATGAGAGAAATAGAAGGTTTTCAACATAACTGCCTAATGGATAAATACATTGCACAGAAATTCTCTTCTGTCTTTCCACTTCAAGTTCTGTAGAAAAATAAAAAAGTCTGTTGGCTGCAGTCATATGGATATAACCTTGCTGGCCAGAATTAGGGTGTGCTAGCAACATGATGGGAATTGTTCGTGAGTGCTGAAAACCATTGTACAGGCCTGTGACTTTATGTCATAAACATATTTAAATTGTAGTCCCAAAATCACTGAATCAAAGATTTAATCACGTTCCTTACCTAATTTTGAAGTTATCAGACATTGTTGCTTTGTTTTATTGTAAAACTTTTGCACAAAATGTCTAAAATAATCAGTATATCTAAAAAGTAACATTCTTTTCAGGTGTTCTGTGATAAACACCTGCTGTTACTCAGCTACCACAGCACAACTTGTTCATTCCTGTTCTATTTCTCCTTTTTTTTTTTTTTTTTTTTTCACCTCCCCAGCCAGCATTATGCAGCAACCAAGTTTCTAACAAATAAGGAGGCTGCTTCAGGGTACATGAGTGAATTAAAACCTCTGTGGCCTCACCTTCCCATCTGCAATTACTTTAAGGTTTTCACTGGTAATTCATGCAAGTCCCAGGAAGAGGTTTGTTCGACTCGCCTTTCATGTAAACTTACAGATAGGTGCACGTCAGGATACGTGGACATTTATCATTTCCTGTACACCTTAAGCAAAGATAATGCAACATTTCTAAGGAGTGTTGATTATACAGTGAACTTTCCAGCTTGCATTGAGTCAGATTAGACTATACAGTTTCACTAGATTTCAATCTAGGTTTCTTGCATAATGAAAAAAAATTGCTCAATGAAACAATCCAGTGGTGTATCTGTTTACGGATGTCCCTGCCCAAATTATTTTCTGATTTAATTCCACTGACATTGTTAGACTCACACTGTGGATGAATTTGGGTTGTTCAGTATAGCCTGTCACTATTTTCCATGTTAATTTTGATGGAATTGCCATGATATCTTTCTTTGTCTTCTTGCACTATAACTATGCACTCAAAGAATAAAACATGGCATTACAGGGATAAACAACTGAGATTTGCATGTGTAGTCAGTGTATGCAGAAAATGTTGGCATTTCACTATGATTGCTTGGGGATAGTTTTATAATATATGAGTAACTTCAAGATTTCATTCTTTAATTGCACTTCTGGCTTTTTGTATGAAATAATGTAAAATGATCTACAGATTTGAGTGAAATTTGAATAGAAAAAGGAAAAATAGAAAAAGAAAAGGTGTTAATATTTACATTTTAACCAATATTTTTTTTCTGGGGGCAAAACATGAAGAGTTGCCAAACCGACTTCTATTGATTTTTCTTCCTTTGACTGTAAACCAGGGATTTTTGCTTTCTCTAAGTTAAATATACAACATTGGCAAAACTTTGTGACATTCCCCTTGTGAGCTCTGCAAAGTAGCTTCTTTTATAGATTCCAAGGGCATGGAGAACAGGAAAACAACTTCCCAGTATAGCCTCTTCAGTTTCCCTCAACTCTGGGGTTAGGGGTAATATTCGTACTCAGCCTTGCCTTTTTTTGAATCATGACCAACATTGACAACATTTTATACTCTTTGCAGAGGCATAAATGGAAGGCAATGAATATTCTGGCCGGTTTCCTATAGGCTTTAGATCAGTACTGGAGTCAGATGGACTATGAATATCTGTCTTATGGGAATTGCACTTGCATGACTGTAGGACAGCAACACAACCACCATTTTCATTCACTAGTTGGATAATGGTCTTTGCCATTAAAACTGTCCATTTCCTCTTAAACTGTCTTTGGAACTTTATTTCCCTGAGTTCATTCCAGGACCATGTAAACCAGTTTATCTGCAGCAGCTTGCCAAGGTAATCAGGGTTGGCTGGCATTCCCTTGGTCCAAAAGTCTCTGTCAGTGCTGTCTACTACTAAGTGCTACAAATTGCACTATATTAGTGAAATACACTTACCAGCTTTAACACCGTTTTTAGTACAAATTTTATAGTTGTTTCTTTATTTTTTATTCTATGAAATTCATAAACATCCTGGCAAAAGGCCAAGGTAGGGCATGAGCGTAGGGAGGCTAATTTGATTTTTTAAATTCAGAATTATGAATGTTTTTATGTAGCTATATGTCTTATACCACCCTCCTTATGAAAAAGGTTCAATGGTACAGAATGACTAATCACAGAGAAACCAGCGCACCATCATCCTTCTCCCAAGAGGGACCTTACATGGTTTGTGCAATCCAGCATTCAAAACCAAACTATAAGTATTTATTTTCCAGTATCTCACCTGGTGACTGAATGAATAACTGTCACATGAACAAAGAGCAATCTGTTTGCTTTTTAAGTGACTTTCAGGCACTTATGAAATAATGAAAACCCCTAACAGCAACATTAAATGAATATGATGAGCTAAATTTTTGAGCAGTGTATCAGAAGGAAAAAGTAAACTGTAGATTGCGCATCGATTCCTATTGTATAGTTGAATACTATTTGCTTAGTAGTGATGATTCATGAGACCCTAGAGTTGTATACACCTGAGATGTGTGAGGCTTACAGAGAGTTTCTCTACTCAAATTAAATGAGGCATGAGTATTTTCTTCCTTCCTCTTTCTTTTCTCTAATTCTATGTATGTGGTTTGTTCTCTATTTGCTTGCAAAGGCAGCGCAAGCTGTATGTCATCCTGTGGGCTCACATACTGCATTAAGTATCATGCAGACTCCATTTGTATCAAACTACTTTTTTTCTCTCTCTTAAAACAAATACTTACATAGCTACTCCTACTGCATCTTTTTTTCTTTTTGTGGAGAAAGCTTATTAGGGACATCTTGATTTTTCAGAGTCTTCCTTTTAGTAAGTACTGGGCCTTCCTCTGTTTTTCAGGCAGGGTATTACAGTGCTCATTCCCATTCCTTCCTCCATTTCAATTTCTAAAAATAATCAGCCATAAAAGTCGTTATTGAGCTTTATTGTTACCAGCACAGTAAGATTAATAGTGGTGAATATACTGTACCTCACTAAAAGGGTGCCTTAAGTTGTCTGACATATCTCCCAGGACAGTCAGGGAGTTCTGAGAAACCCCAGGGTTTCCTGTTACTCCTTCCATGGTAGTATGGGTCGGCATTGATTTTTCCAGTACTCTGTGCCAAACAGGAACAATTTAGCTCATAGGGAGGTAATAAAATAATCTTTACAAGCAATGAATACAGTAAAGCAGGTCAGAAACTGGCTTTGTGTTTGTGGGAGAGAGAGGATCTGGTCGCTTAGTACCCTTCTGTGAATTTCTCAATTAAAAAAAAAATCTGATTACTGTGATTTGGGACCACTGAAGGATTTAATTTTTGTTTATCACCTGTTTCCATTTCAAGAAAGTATAATTTACTATTATTTTAATATGGTTAAAATATTTCAGTTAAACCATTTCCTTTGCTTATCTATGATGTACAAATGAATGCAACACAGCTTAATATAAATTAACAATGAAATCAGCATGAAATGTTTTTGACATTGTCAAAACGAAATAATTTCCCATTTCCGGAGTGTTTTGAGAACGTTGAGATTATTTTTTTCAATTTCTTCCTATTAATTATGTAATTGGAACAAACCTGTTCTTAGGACAGTTTTCAGAATACTAGTTTTCTCACTGAAATGAATTTCCAATGGCTGTGATCAATGCTGGAGATTATCCAAGGAATCTAGTTTTTGAAATAGTAGCTCTAGGTCCCAGGCTGTACCTCTTTTTCCCTCAGGCACCATAGTAATCTTAAATTAGGTGCACATGCCATCATAATCTTTTTTGCTCTTAACCTTTGCTTCAGGAAAAGTATGTAGAAAAGATAGCAGGCATGATCTAGGCTTATATCACCAGTGCTCTAGTGACTATGTGAGTGTCTGCTCTGTTTATTTTTATTGGCTTATTTTTGAGAGGAAAATGCATCAAAACTGCCACTAAGTGAAGAGTTTTTCTTCTGTTTCAGAGCTGCCTTTTTTTTTTCCTATGTTTATGAAAGGTCAGCACTTCTAAAAATAATTGTAGGATATTTTAAAATGGAGATTGATAAGTAAAAAGTGTTCAGGTGAACAATTAATTTTCTAAGAAAATATGAACATGGGAACATCTTCAGACATTAACTAGTAAAAGCAATAAATCCTTCTGTTTGCTCAAGATATAGTTAAGGCTAGTTTTATTGACAGTGATGGCAGTATTATTACAGGATACCTGTGACTTTGCTCTTCATGAGCTCCTTGAGTTGTATTCATTCCTCTGTTGTTATAAAAGTATATTTATATAAGAGGAGACTGCAGCCCTGTGTCAGTGTAATTGTCATGGTCAGATGCAGTGTGTCTTTGTGGCATTGAAAAGGAGCAAGAGAGTCAGTCAACTCAAGAAGTCTCACTGTGAAGAAAGAACAGAGCATTAATCAATAATCTGAATTTTCTTTTTAATGCCAGTAGAAACTACCCTCTGAATGCCATGCCTAGAAAATTGTGTGTCAAGCCTCCCAGAAGAGAAGAATGTGTGACAAATATCTTCTCCATATCTTATGTCTTAATAAGTTTTTTTAGTGTCCAGTCAGCATGGGAGAGCTGCCTTCTGAGATGCTTCAGAGGCTCAAAGGGGGGAAAAATAGAACAAAATGGGTGTTCTGCACAGAATTTTTCACTGGTATTGGCTTCTATGTAGTTCCTGGGTCATGCTTTCCATCCTGCTCAGTGGTATAATCTGTTAGGTTCTTTTCATGTACTTTTAGGGTTTGCTTTTTTTGTGTGTATTTTTTTTAAAGCAACTTAGTTTATGGGTCCTCCACGGAATGGATGCAATTAGCTTTGTTACTAGGTTGCATTGCTCTAGACCCAATTACAGGTAGTCTTAAAGATATGGCTGAAAATGCATACTGTGGTATGATTTATTATGACTCATGTGCTGATGGAGTACACTAATGACATGAACTTTTCAAGTAAATTGAAAAAAAATTTGTAATGCTTTTCAGGAGTGGCGGTTATTAAGAGACAAAATATGCATGAAAGGCAGCTATTCTACAAACTAACATCCAGCACCTACTGGCATGTTTTCTCCATTTGAACACAAAATCCTATTGTAGGACAAAGCCTTTACAGATGAATTTATCTGTGGAAATGACTAAGCAAAATCATTTTACCCCTCCTTAGTTTATATCAATCACCTGATTACAGAAAATAGTTTGTATTAAATTGTCCATGATCTAGATGTAAAATGGTCAGTTAGAGATTAGAGCTTCAACTGGTATGTGTAAACATAATTACATTTAATCTACTGAATATGCATTATTTTATTTCAGTAGAGGTTTGTTACAAGTATCTGTAACACACTGGAACCTCCAGAAGACGCAGAAAATTTTTTTTCTTCCATGAGACATTTTCTGGTAATATTTCACTGAGACCTGTGAAGCCAGCTACTGGTAAATTTTTTATTATTATGTTGAAGTCTTGACAAAGTGCTTGGGACAAGTTTTAAAAAGCCTTTTACACTTGTGAGTATTATTGGCTTATGCAAGTAACAAGACCTTGAAGGACCTGGTTCATCAAGAATTTCTGTGGAACTGATGTCCCTTCTCAGCTGATGAGTGAATTATTTTCAAATACTTCTGAGGAAAAAGAATTGTGTTAAGTCAAATTTTTCCACAGCTAGTTCATGCCCTGCTGATTTATGTGGCAGTGATTCATAGGAGGCTGTTGGTGTATGACAGCAAAGTCTGCTACACTGCTCAGTAGTAAGATAAATGCAACTAATAATGATGACAGACTTTGTGGACAGCTTTTCATCAGAGCACCTCTACACATTTTGCAAATGTCATGTCAAGCCTCACAATGAATTGGCTGCATATGAACAAGTTGCAATGGAAGGGAGGGGACACACGAGGTTGGGAGCATGCCTCATAAGAGCCTTCAGGTGTTTGAATTTTTAGTCAACATTTCCAGAGTCTCCATCTAGCACTGTGACAGCTGATGGGAAACTTCCCATATCTTCAGAACTACGGTAGTACTACTGACTGATTGCACAAGTTCTGCCGTTAGCGTGATTGGTCAAAGGACAGATGTACAATAAACCTGTCAATCCTTTTGCAAAATATTTTATAATAACTTTGTTTAAAATAAAAAAAAAGAGAAGTATATATTTGTGATATTTGTGTAAGTAATTGTGCACATACCTTGATGTGAAGTTATTCGTGGGCTTTTTGGTTTTATTGTAGGGTAATTCATTAATCAACTCAGTATTAATAATTAGCTTGAAGAACAGGCACCTCTTGCAGGAATCCAATCAAAGTTAGTTCTTCTGAATAACACAGAATTCACAGGAGTCCTTTAGAAGTAATAATAGAAATTTAAAGATAATAATAGGCATAACAGTAAAATAATAACAAAAGCAAAATTCTTAAGAACTATTAGCAAATAAATTGATGAAATCAGCACTCACTGAGCATATCAAGCAGCTTCTTCTGAAACACATCAGATATTTTATTGATAAAATTTGTATATTCTTTTGCCCATGTAAAGAAAATTTAACTGATACAAAATGAAGTAGTTGCATGGAAATCCACTGAAATGCCACCACTGATGTCAGGAGAAGGTATAGATTACAAACAATCCTCCTCTTTCCCTGCCATGGATGACACTAAACAATCTCCAGTCTAGTATCTCCTTCTGTCAACCTCTCCTCTTCACTCATCCTTTTGTCCTGCAGTACTTCTGTGATTCTGAAGAGGATTTTTGCCAGAGGGACTGTTACATGGGAATACATATATTTATGCATTTCAGATTTTCAGAAAATCAGTTGTATTTCCCAGTTGGCCATAGACGTTGACTCCGCTTTAATGTAACTAGTTCTTGATGTGCTTGGGAAGTGGCTGCTGATGTGGGGCTGATGTTCCTGAAGGAAAGAACAGGGAAGGCCCATAGCTGCGCTGCTGCCAGGAACAATACAGCCCCGTTACCACTGCCTTGTGTACAGATTAATTAGATCTGTTGAGAAGCAAGTGTCACACTGTGCTAACATGGCTACTTTTGTTCTGCAGCTTAAACTAACTAATTTAGACCTGATTTAGGTACCTTTAGATAAATATGGTTTCTTCATCCTTGGAATACCTCGAGGTAAAATGACTCATTCTCCAGTGCTAATCATTTCTGGCAAGTTATGGTCAGTGTTAATCAGTGACACATAACAGATGCTCTGTGATGGTATCATCTTGCTCTTACTTGTATCCACCTGTTCAGAGGAAAACAGCTGACCTGTAAAGTCATCTCCCAGCTCTGTCAATGCACATATGGAGCATTGCTCCAAGCTGCTCATTTCTCAACTAGAACATGTCCAACAGTGGTGTAACTTTTTCAGTCTCAAGAGATGTTAGTGAAGAGCAGGCTAAATGCTAAGCCACTAGTTCAAACGAGATGTCCCCAGGCTGGGACCGCTCTCTTGTCCCTGAGGACTGGAACAGGAATACCGCAGTCTTGTGTATATACTTGTCAACTTGCACAGTATATAGGGAGTATTTGCTCACTTTGTCCTTTCTTGAATTGTCCTATGTTGGTCTTTCTATTATCAGGAGGACTATTACAGCCATTTAAATATTTGGCTTCAGAAATAAACTGATTTTGGACATGGAAACCAGGGCCACATGGGGATTGTACAGTTGTCTCTGGTGCTTGCATGATGAAGTTTATTAGGTATCTCTCTGTATTGCTGTACATTTACCAAGTCTGTATGTATGATCTTGTGATACAAGGACCAAATATGTGATGCTGTGCCAGAAAAGGCCAGTAATATATGTGTAGGGGATAAAGAGAGAGCATATCACATGGCAAGGCACTGTTAGGCAGTGAATTCTGATGGTAGAATGGTAACTGGTAATCGGCTATAATGAGGTAAATGCCTAAAAGAAGATACCCTCACCAAACGAGTAAGTCAAGACACCAATCCTTGTTGGCAGGGAAGTTCTGCGTATATTAGTACTCATGTAAAACAGCTGTAGGGAAATGAATCATACAACTGCAGGTTGTTTGAAATGTCCTGTCACTGGGTGTGCTACTCTGAGTTCGTATGCAGCACAGTGAGGTAAATTCATTTCAAATTACTGAAATAAGAGGAAATTTTTGAATAGCCATCACTGTATAATGACCTAGATGACAATGGGTAGGTTAAAAATAAGAAACACATTTTTGCATTTCAGGGAAATGAGAGTGGCCTTCCGCTGGGAATCAGGGCAAAAATTGAATGTGAGGAAGAGAATTTCCAATTTTAGACCTGATTATCCTCTCCTCTTGCAACCTTGCACAGTCATTAACACTTTTGCAAAGGGCTTTGAAGTGCTATTGTTCAGATTTGGTAAGGCTACCACTCACACCCTGATTTCCCTGGTGTGATTCCGCCCAGGTCAGCATAACAGAGACTCCAATTCTGCCCTTTCTGGCTTTAGATTTCTTTTTAATGTCCCCATATGGGAGGAGAAGCTGTAACAGCCAGTGTCAAGAGGACCACAGCTTCACAGGTGACTGAGAAGTGTTGCATGATGGACAACTGAATTCATGGGGTTTCCATAACACTATTTTCAGAGGTTGTTTCAAATTTTTGCAAGAAAAACTGCTTATGAATTGGAAAATATAAATGACAATTCCCAGGATATTCTCCATCTCAGCAAATGATACTCAGCAAAATATACCATTTCCCAGACAAATAACATAAAAAGACTCTGAGAGAAGTGCCTAAGCAGTAGGAATATTTGGAGATACAAGGAGTCAGGATTTTTCTTCTTATGGCTTCACATTGCTGTCTGCAGCCAGAGAGAGACAGAGGGAGCCAGCAAAAGAGGCTCTTGGGGGTTCCCCAGTCATTCTTATTAACTTGACAGTGAAAACACACTCTCCAGTCTGAAGGCAGAGGGGCTTAGAATGAAAGAGATGAATTTTCTCTATTAATTCTCTAATTGTGATTGCTGAGAATTAGCAACATTTTGTTGCAGTATTTTTGTATAAAGAATATTTTAATCTAACATGGTTATCCAAAGCAGCAGAGTTGGATTTGTCACTTCCTGACATTCTGTTCACATGAATGGACATCCCACTGAAATGAGGCTGTGGTCTTAAGTATTCAGATAAGTATTCTTCTGTACATTGGAATAATGGAGACGTTTTCTTCTGTCCCTTGCTGAAATTGGTATTTATTTATTTCACAAGCTGAGGCATGATGGAAAAACCGTGAAGCCTCTATTTGAGCTGATATCACATTATCTGGTAAACTGAGGAA